TTACCATAATTATTACCAACCAAATTATTAGAATAGGTTAGGTTAGGTTTGAACGTGCGTCCCCACTGTTTCCTTTCTTCTGTTTGCTGGAATCAGAGACGAGCCGCCATTTTACTCACCATAGGTAACATTATCCAATTGTGCTTACTTATTAGTGCAGTCTAAAGATTGGTGACACTTTGAATTTCGTAGCAATTGGTTTTTGCGACAAGCGCACCTATTTGTGGTACATTTATTTGTGGCAAAGATCTTATTTTTACTTTACCGAGTGCCTAGTAAGTAATGTGCGGATTACCTGGATACTCTGCACATTATCTAGGTACTTTAAGAAATGGAACAATTTTCACAACTTTAACGGATCACCCTAGTTAATCTGCAGATTAGCTAGGTAATGTACACATTAACGACTTTCGAGCTTTAGCGGTAACATATAAACTATAGCGGAGAATACCAATTTAATGTATTTATTCCCATTTTGCTTTAACTATTACAAATTTTTTACAATTCGATTGAATTTGGACTAAACGAAAATTAATAATAAAAAGGGTGAAAAGTATCTCGCAAAATAAGTGGAAAGACTCCATTCGTCACTCTGTGACGAAACCAATCAATTGTTATCTAAATGGACCTTTGTCTGGAAATAATTGCCATTAATTGTGATATTCGGCTTAAGAATGTTCAAAAATAACTAAATTTAGAAAGTTCGTGGTCTGAACTCACCAATAAAATCTTTGCAAATGATGGAAACTTCAGAAAAACTCTTGAAATAAATCAGTTTTGATCGCACGAACAGAAAATCCATTGCCTCGCCACGAAATTTAATGTAAAACGTTTGGATTTTTCACCGAATTTCGCGATTTTTGCAGATGGTTTTTTGCATTTGCATTCATGTCAACAGTAATATATGAGTATATTCAAAAATCTAATATTCACGTGTTCTGTGTCTGTATAAAGACGAATAAAAATTTCTATGTTATGATGATCCTTCGAACCAAACAAAGAATAGACTTGAAGTATAGTAACCCTCCTTTTATCTACCAATCTATTAATAAAACTGAACTTTTAAATTAAGGTGTTCGAATTTTACAGATATGTGAGGTTCCTAAAATTGGATCGAAATTACAATTAATTATAAAATTCCTAAGTCTGGAAATTTCGTATGTAGACCAGACAGGAAGGAAATTAATTATATACTTAAAATAAACGCGACGCGATGATGAACGACGGAAGGGAATGTCGACCGACAGAGAGGGAGCTTTAAGGCGCTCGTATACAAGTGCCGGGGTATAAACAATCGGAAAAGGGGATAATGACCAAGAGGACACTTGTTAGGTCATGTGAGCCCTAAACCACTTGGGGGTAAACGGACACAAAAACATCTGGCAAATCGGTTAAGGTAAACATCCGAGAAAGAGGCTGCGTTTCTTTATGCACGAGAGTGCAGCGTAAATGACGTCACGAGCAGCTGTCGCTGCATCATCTATATACAACGGGTGTCTGTTCCGTAACCGTTTGATAACGGACACTAGAGGCGCCCCTATCGTGTGTCATATTTCAAACATTCAAATTAACAATTTTAATTCTTATTTAAATTAACAATATAAATTTTTATTATTCATTTGGCCAATAAATTATTATTTGGTCAATATAACAATATAAATAATTCAGTATATTTGTAATAGGAATTTATTATTTCAGGGGCTTATATCTCTCGAAGGGTCACGAATAGGGGTATGGCTCATTTGACTTTATTGTTAATACAGGGGTGTACGGTTTGGGGGGTCGCCACCTCTTCATTCGGAGGGTAAATCTTACCATTCAGATTTTAACAGAGCTGTAGAGCATATTGTAAAGCATAAAGGTAAAGGAACAAAAAAGTCAAAGGAACCATGCCTCATGGAAACTTGTAAAGAACGCCCACTAGGGGGCATCCCAGGCTACTAGTTCATAATATCTTCCCTTAAACTTCAATAAGCTGACAATAGATTTCAGCAGGTTAAATGTTTTTTTGAATTCAAAAATGTATCATTGTACCTTGAAAATCGGTGGAATTGATGAGCAACTATTTTTCTCAACTATTTATAGAGGAAGCATGTTCTTCCTCTATAGAGGAAGCATGTTCTTCCTCTATAAATAGTTGAGAAAAATTGTCCACAACATACAGAAGCTCAGAACTTTCTAGAAATGTAGAAATAACATGAACAGTCTAAAGCATTGATGAGCATTGCAACCTTTACTGAATGTGGCTACAAGTAAACTTTGTAAGCAAGCCATAAGCATTTTTTCTTATGGAGTTGCAGGCTTTTAAGCCTGCTGAATGCCAACATATTTGATAATCTAATTAAGTACTAAAATAGTATATGCTAAAGATATGAAAACTAATAATATATAATTTATTCTAATCTTTTCACTGTCAATTTTAGTTTGAATGTTCTTCACATGTATCAGCTTAATTAGATCTATATAATGACATGAGGCAGAAAATAAGATTATTGTACAGTACATTGACAAAGCCACAGGTGTCACATATTAGTATCTTGAGAGCAGCATGCAGCTCGAGTCATAGAATGCTCACAAGTGGTCTAAAAAATGTTTTCAACCTTGAAACAACTCCAGACAACTAGCACAAACATGATTATGCACAAATGATTTTTACTTTAAAAATGACCAAGCACAATGTTTAAATTTTTGACAAACAGTCAATGCAAATAATTATCTTACATAAATGTTTGCTAAAGAAAATCATATAACAATTTGGTTTTGTTTTGATGATAATGTCAAATAAATTCTTAATACTATCATTTTCTCTTACTTCTAATATGAGACACACACATTTTTTGTCCCAATGAAACCAATAATAATAAAATATAAATAAGAAGTTATTAAAAAGACTAAATCTGTTCATGAAAGAAAATTAATAATTAGAAGAGAAAAAGATAAAAAGTCATAACTTTAATTTGCTAAATTAATTTATAAAATTTTTTAGTTATTTACTATTTTATATTTTTTACATTTGCTTATAGCATTTTAAAAAAAACTAAATAACTATTTTAATTAAAACTACTAAGTTACGTATACACACATATCCACATATTCTAATAATTCAATGTGAAATAATTTGAATTCACTTTTCATTATTTTAAGGTAAAAAATTAAAATAAAATGATCAAAAATTTAAGAAATAATTTTATGTTAATTTTGCAACAATTCTTAACTTGATAGTAGCCTTACCTCTGTTTTTCTTGGTGGTTCACCATTTTTATTGCTAATTATTAAAATATTCCTTGCATTTTCTCCACAACGAAAACCAAGTTCTTCTAACGAATGACTGCCTTCTTCATTAACAACAACCTAATAAATGAAAAAATAATTATTCTAAATGATATTTTTTATTCAAATATTAAATCTTTCCATAACATTTTACAACTTTATTTAAAAACAATTAAATATAAATATTCATTTTTATCTTTTTGCTTAAATATAATTATTATTGTTATAATTATCATCAATAAAATCCATCTAATAAACAAAGCATTGACAAATATATCACACTAACCTTAAAATGCTTTACAGATATTTTTTAACATATCACAAACATTTTTGGTCCACCCTAGGACTTTCTTCAGGTGGAGTTCTACTAGAGAAAACCCTTTTCTGGTGCAATTCCATTCTATTCTGTTTCTGATACGTTCTAATTTTCTTTCAAATTTCCTTTTTAAACTTTTTTTTTAAAGGAAATTCGAAAGGAAATTAGAACCCATCAGAAACGGAATAGAATGGAATCGCACCAGAAAAGGATTTTCTCTAGTAGAACTCCACCTGAAGAAGGTCCTAGGGTGGATCAGAATATGGTAATGTTGAAACTACATATATATATATATAAAGATTTGATGACTTTTAATCATCAGACCATCTGACAAAATACCAAAATTCTGTTGCTTTATCCAATTACTGTTTAGAAAATACATGAAGATTTGTTTTACTATTGTCATCTAATTAAAGTTATTTAATATTTCAAATGGTATCCAAATGTTATTTTAACATGGATTATATTTCCACACTATAAAATTTAAAAGATAAAACAAATAAAATGGTAATAATATCATTTTTAGTTTTAATTTTAAGCAAAAAATATCAGAAAGTAAAGCTATTGTATATAAATCAAAACTTTAAAATAATAAACGATCAAGTCTGGGATAAACTTATATAGTTAATTATTTTAGCTGTCAAAATTTCTTTATGGTGGTGAAAAGAGGCAAAGTTTATGGCTTACCAGCATTACAGTTGAGTCATACATCTTAATCAACAAGAATGATTAACTGCTCAAAAATTATTTGAAAAGTTTGTCTTTTATTTAACACAGACTATAAATATATAATAATAAATGCTAAAATGGCCTCAAAAAGGTTAAATAGAAATATATTTTAATGTGGATATTATCTGTAATAAAGGGAACACTGTTGAGTAACCTTGGCTGCTGGTGACTTTTTGTTGGGAGATTTTGTTAACACTTTTTTTTTTTTATTGTAAATTACTGAGTCTTTTATTTATTTGCTACCTAAGTTGGTACGTTTTTTGCTCAATTGTGTTATTCTGTGTCATTAGTTCTATTTTTTTTGGAAATGTTTTCATGTACTCTTCCAGAAGCATTAAAGCAAACCCAAGAAGAACTGAAGGGAACTANGGAATCAATTATGAAAACAATTCATTTTGTCTCATCATGTAATTATTTCATACATATTAAACTATAAATTTAAAATACAATTTTAATATAAAACAAACTAAATATATTTTTACCTGTTTCTTGTCTTATTAATGAACTACTGTAATTGTAACCATATGAGAAATCTGTAGAATTAGGACTATATGGAGGTATTGATGGTGGTGGTGAAGTGAATGCTGATGAACTGGAAGTATAAGGTGGTACTGAAGGAGGTAAAGAAATTACTTCTGAAGATCCTGAAGCTTTTGAATTAGAATTTTCTGATTTTATTTTTTCAAGATTTAATGTTTTGTCATCTGAAAACTGAAAATATTCCATTTTTAAAGTAAAATATTAATGCAATTTAAGATTATGTAATTAAAATAAAAATATATTAAATAGTTTATAACAGGAGTGAAATTAAAATAGCCTTTAAAAATTCTTTCATAAATTATAAAAATTAAGAATAATTTTTCTGTAAGTCATACTATATATGCTTAAATTAAAAAATGTTTTAAACTCAATTGTAATGTATTTAATTTTTTCAAAATTTAGTCAATTTATACATATATAATATCAATTGCACAATGCAAGCATGCACGTGCGCACACAAACTTAAATCAAACTTTATAGAGAGTAAGATGGTTACTGACAAATGCCTAAGATATTCAAACATCCATGTTATTTTCTATAGAGAATTATTTACTATAGCAGTGGTTCCCAATTAGTTTTTCCTGCGTACCACTTCAAGAAAGAGCTCAAACTAGCGTACCCCTTATAGCAGAAATTCATATTAATCCACACTAATATTATAAATTCAAAGGTAATTCTGTCTGTTACCTTTTCACATCTAAACCACTGAACAGGTTTTAATAAAATTTGGCACAGAGATAGCTTACATGTTGGAGATGGACATAGGCTACATTTTACTGCGAGAAAATATCTTACTCCCACGAGAAAATTCGATATAATGC